AAAAAATTCAATTTAGTATGCAGATTTATTAACCTTATAAAAACTAACATAAGAACGTTTTCCGAATTGAATTTAAAACATTTTTGGCTTAGTTATAGAATTTTTAGGTATTGGTTATTCCAAAAATTATCATAAAAATTTCACCATTTATTCAAAATTTGAAAAAGGGTTATAATTAAAAAGTTTAAATTAAAAGGAAAATTAATTGCAGTATGCAGATTTACTAGCTTCATTTTCTACAATTTCTACCCTTTACTTACTACACAAACTTGTGAATACTTTGATCATTAAACTTATCGATTTTAGTTTATACCTTATAAAATAGTGCCTTTATTTACCACTTAGCACTTAATTCTCATTTTTGGGTCTTCTTGCGCGTTGCTCCACTCATCTGCAAATGCAAATTTAGACTTAATTCGGCTCCTTGGGAAACATTAATTATACGCCCCCTGCTCTAGTGCTCTAGTTCGGAATCCCTCCAGTTTTTCCCTTTTTCATTGTTTTTTTCCCAGCCACATTTCGTAATAGCTTCGTGGCCATGTGACGAGGCTGATACCGAGACTAAGACCGAGACTAAGATTTACCCACACACAATTGAAAATGGGGAAAAGCGAAGACGGCAACTGAGGATTGGGCAACGGGAAATGCGAAATGCGAAAAGCGAAAAGCCGTTTCGTCATGCCAAGGAACCGTCCCTAAAGGCCAGCCATGTATCTACATATATTCGTTCGATTATTTTTGGCAAACCATGATCGTCCTGTCCAAACAACATCTTTTGGCCAAGTCACTTCCTGGTCCCAGGCCGCCATCTCGAAGGAAATTGCCAAAGGAAAATCCCAAATACCAAAATCGTTAGCGACATTTTATTTGTATTTTCTTTTTTTCAGTTTTCCATTTGGAAATTTTGTTTTATTGTGAGAAGCGCCGCGGCAGTAGTAACAGCAAAAATACAAAAAAAAGAGTAAAGACAAAGACAGAAACAAGTTGGCAACGAAGCTTGGCCATAATGATGTTTGCCCGCCGAATGGGCCCGAAGACACCGCAGCCGGGTATAAAGAGTGGCTCTGCTGGTCACGGAGATGCATTCAGTCGCTGGTTCCCCACTCGAAAGCAACCAAATTCACTTACTCCACTCTACTCTACTCGACTTTTCCCCCCAAAACTCAACACACACACCCAAATCGTCGCTATGAACTCCTTCTCAGTGGTAAGTAGGATCAGGATCCAGAAATCTACAGATCACAAAAAACGGATAACTGCCACTTTTGGATAACAGAGGGAAAGCCTTGGAAGCATTAGGAAGTGTCTAGGTTTTAGAGATTTTTTAAAACTTGGACAGAGCTTCTTGAGGAGGAAGTTATAAACAACTCTTAAATATCTCTCAAGATATAAAAGTTTTTTAAATATCCGAAAAGCCTTTAAAGTAATCAGTAAATAATAATAATCCTGTGTTAAAGAACCAAGAAACCTTTGCTATGACTTTAGGAGTTCCCTAAAAAAACAAAAAAATAAAAATTTACAAAGGAGAAAAATATGAGATACAAAATCCTTCTGAAATTAGTTTTGTTTTAGGAAACACTAAATCTTGAAATTTTTCCAGAAAAACAGACTTTAAATGATGTAGAAATATATTTTTAAATAATAAAATATATGCTTAGTTATTAGAAGCTAACATTTTTAACTAAAAATACAATTAAATAATTTTGAAATTGAATTTGAAACTTGATCTTCCAAAAATGAAATTACAAAGAAAGTATTTAACAATTTTAGCAGTAAAAAGTAAAGTAAATTTGTTATGTTAAACAAATTTAGCTCTCCAAAAAATTAAGTTAATAATTTTTGAATTAATAATTAATAATAATAAAATTAACAAATAATTTTAACTCATCTCTTTCCAGTTCTTAGTGTTCGCTCTGGCCGCCCTGGCTGCAGCGGAGCCGCCATCCGGCTATAACTATCCCCGCGGAGGGGGTGGTGGTGGCGGATTCGGCGGCGGCTTTGGAGGCGGCTCCTCCTTTGGCGGCGGCGGCGGCGGTGGTGGCGGCTACCAGGCGGTGAGCGGTGGCTTCCAGACCTCCGAGGGCCAGAACGTGGATCCCCAGCTGCTGGAGCAGGTCCGTCAGATCCTGCTCAACGAGGAGAGCAAGCAGGGAGGCGGCGGCGGCGGCGGCGGTGGTGGTGGTGGTGGCGGCGGCTACCCCAGTGGTCCTTCTTCCAGCTACGGACCCCCGTCCACTAGCTACGGAGCCCCCGGCATCGGAGGCGGTGGCCGTGTTGTGGGCATTGATCTGGAGGGCGTACGCCAGGCCATCCAGGTGGCTCAGTTCGCCCAGCAGAGCTCCCAGCAGGGTGGCGGCGGTGGTTATCCCAGTGCCCCGTCCGGCTCCTATGGAGCACCGTCGAGGCCCAGCGGCAGCTACGGAGCGCCCTTCTAAGATCCCCGCCAAACTCTAAAAGGTCTCATCACTTCACTGCCAAAAATGAACTGCCGACGGAATGGACGAAGACATGCAACCCGACCAAGAAGACACTATAAAGATTTGGGTATCCTGGAACGATCGCTTAGGGATCGTTCTCTTTCCCCCTGAAAAGAAAACAAAATCTTCCTATCCCAAACACTCAGCGACTGTAACTCTCAGTTCCCCCGAAAGATCCCGATTCCCCCAAAGTTTCCAACTCAGAAAACTCCAAACCTAATCTCGAATCTCGTCGAGGATATTCGGGGCTTTGTTTTGGACTTTTTTCTCTCATTTTTTGCAACACCTTTGTACATAGTTCTTTCACACTGAAAAAAAAAACGAACACAACAACTGAAAAGCCACACAAAAACAAAACACCAAGATGGAAAAACACACAACAGAACACCCCAGACAGTGTTATAACGCATTATTAGCTCGTAAGTGTTTTTATTTTATATGAAACAAACAAAGAAACAACAAAAAAAAAAATATGAAAACAATAAAAAAAATAGTAAATTTTGTCACCGTTAAAAGATGCCCCTTGTTTTCTTATTCGTAATTTCATTTGGGATATTTCTTTGTAATGATTTTTGGTTAAAAATCAACTGACCCCATTTTTAATGGCACTTGGATGATCTCTTAATGACTATAACAATCCAAACCAGACCATTACCATTACCACTCGCATAGACCAATTCCAATTAAACGAGTTTAAAGCTCTCCATAAATCGAATTGTCACTGGCCTTATGTGAGGTTTTTTTTTCGTTACTTTAAATACCAAGCCAAGCATCTTCAAAAAATCCTTTCACTTTTTGGTTATGAGGTTTGAGGTGGCTGTAACCCCTACTCTGGCACTGTAAAAAAAAACCCATTTAATTTCATAAATTTCCTGTAATTATATTTTTAATGATTATATCCTCTAATTTATGGGATATCGGGGTATAATATATATTTTTTAATAATTTGTTTTTATAAAATATGTCCTCTAACTTTATATTCTCTCTTAAATTGCTAACAGTGCATGCGGTATACTCATCATCAATGGCTGTCGTGCAAGTGCTCGAAATGGAAGTCTGAGATGAAGATGAAGATGGGGATGCTGGATTTTGGATACTGTATGTAGCCAGCAGATGGGGCCGCAGGGGCGCCTTATTACGCCAAGATTGCGACAGATGCAGTCGGGGCTCTGGGCCCAAAAATGCAGAGATGGTTGGCGGGGATGATGTTGGTCGCCGATGGACATCAACTATTACAGCCACTGTGTGAAGTTGAGAGTTGAAGTGGAAGTTGGAGTCGCAGCTGAAGCTGCAGCCACTTAACCAACATTTCGGCATCATTAACATTGCCCAATTGAGTGCGTGATGAGGTGGCCTCATCCCCATCCCCATCCAATAGTCCACATATGGCAGTGCATCCAAAATGATGCACCGCAATGAGACTCTTGGCATCCATTGATTACGGCATCGCAGCAGTCGCCACCACAATATTCGCAGATGCTACAAAATAAAGTCATCTTATCTATTCAATTATTCATGGGGGAGTCGGAGATTATCTAGGCATTTTGTAATTGTAAATTACTCCTATATATATATATAGTTTATATTTGTATAATATATAATCTAATATAATACAATGTATATGGAAGATAAGAAGCAATCTTAAGTGGGACATTGCATTGAAATTTACAAGATATTTTCAGTAAGATAATTGTTTACAGTTTAATTAAATTAAATTAATTAATCCTAAAAACCATTAATCCAATTTCCAATACAATACCAAGTATTTAAAATCCTTTTTCTTTTTTAAAAAACTAATATATAGTATATTACTTACTCTGATGAAATCTCAAAACCTTAACCTCCCCTACCTCCAAGTAATATAGGGGAAAATCTGCCTATAAAAATTATATGAATATTTACAAATGTAAACCCCTGATAAGCATCTTCCCCCACTAACACCTGTCAAATACCATCATTCTCGGTTATGACATAAAATAATATCTCTTATCTCTTTTATTTTCGGGAACACATATCTCACGCTTATTAGACGCTCTTTGATATGGTAGATCCATAAAGTACTTACGGTTATGATGAACCTCTATAAGTTCTAGTGGAGTGGCCTTGTCTGAGGCTAAGATCCTAAAGAGATTTAGCCTCACGTGAAATTCTCTTTCTCTCTTAGGATGACTAGCATCCGACGACGATGACTAGCGGGTTCTCATCCAAGGAAGTGAGACGAGACTGGGTCCCTAGTGGGTGGTATCAGTGTCAACAGCAGCCGTAAGATGACAGTGAAAACAATGAATGAGATGGCATGAGATGGACGTCCGCCCACCGATAATCTGGGCTAATGTCAGTAGACTCCGGACTCCGGAGAGCAGCGAGATTGCCGGATGGGAACGATGGGGTCTTACGATCCTAGCTGATAAAACCCATCGTCTAGATAAGGTCCAGGCGGCGTGAGAGCGCCGTCGATAGATAATATTTAGAGTAGGTAATTGCGGCGATAAGAGATCGTCTATATAAGGGAAAATCCGTACCCGTGATGAGCTCAATCGTGATTTCTCCGCCGCGCCGAAGTTGGAAAGTGCCGGATAGTGAAGTGAAGTGATAGAGACCCCCGAATCCTTGAGAGGATTCTTACAACCCCTGCAAAATGTCTTCCCTAACGAACGCCTCCGTTTTGGCCACCGCTGCCGCCGCCGTAGTTCCGGACTCTCAGTTTGTGTTCAACTCCACGGATTACGCGGTCTTCGCCCTCATGCTCGGCATCTCGGCTTCCATTGGTGTATATTTCGGATTTTTTGCTAAGGGTGCGGACACCACCGAGGAGTATCTGATGGGTGGCAAGCGTATGAAGACGATTCCCATTGCCATTTCCCTGGTGGCCAGCCAGTTGTCCGCCATTTCTATCATGACCATACCGGCTGAGATGTATGCCTTTGGGATAAATTGGTTCTTCAATGTGGTTTGCATGATTGTGGTGGTGCCGCTGCTAAATTACGTGGTCATTCCGGTTTTCTACAACAACAATATTACGAACTGCTACGAGGTATAGTCGGGTTTTTTAGGAGGAAACATAAGGTTTATCCTGTGTTTTTTGCAGTATCTGGAGATGCGCTTTAGCCGGAAAGTGCGAGTCCTGCAGACTTTTATCTTCATAATGACGATGTTCTTCATGCTGCCCATCTTTATCTTCCTGCCTTCTTTGGCCTTTGCTCAGGGTGGGTTGTTGCGATTAATTATAGGTTTTTTCTAAAATTAAATTAAATGAATTTCGATCTCCTTTAGTGACTGGCTTCAATGTGCACATCATCAACACTGTGGTGTGCGGAATCTGCGTTTTTTACACTATGTTTGTGAGTAGAAAAGAAATATTAATTAATAGATATAATGTTGGACGGTTTGACAATAGATCAGCTATGTCCTTTGGTGTCAATTTTTTAAAAATAAAAATGGCTGTAGATTGATCTCAACAAAAAACTAGAGTAATAAATACAAGTTTCAAACTGGGAATCATTAGATAAATAATTAAATAAAAAATATAATCAAAATTATATAAAAATCTTATTTATTTTATATTTCTAGGGCGGCATCAAGGCTGTGGTTTGGACGGATGTCATCCAGGCAGCAATTATGGTGGTCTCTGTGGTATTGGTAGGCGTGATGGGTGCCAATCGCGTGGGAGGCCTGTCCGAGGTCCTGCGCATTGCCGGCGAGGGAGGACGCCTGGACATCAAGTGGGTTACCAGTTACTCCTCCATCCCAAATCCTGGCTAATTCTCTCTCTTTCTCCTGGCAGCTTCAACTTTGATGCCACCACACGCTCCACAATCTGGAATATATTCAGCTCGGCCACTTTGATGTGGGCAGGTTATGTGGGTCTCAACCAGAGCTGCGTGCAGAGGATAGTGTCACTGCCCTCCTTGGGGCATGCCAGGAGGTAAAATATTGAATAATCAACATATAGATTTATAGGTTAACCCCTCTCCCACTCAGATCCCTTGTGCTTTTTGGCTGTGGCTTCATCCTCATCATGTTCTTCAACTGCTTCACGGGCATTGTGATGTACGCTCGGTTCCATGACTGCGATCCCATTGAGTCCGGTCACGTGTCCAAGGTGGACAAGATGGTTCCCTACTTTGTCCAGGACACCGTTGGACATCTCTGGGGCATGCCGGGAGTGTTCATCTCCTGCGTTTTCAGTGCCGCCCTCAGCACCCTCTCGGCCAGCATTAATTCCTTGGGCGGCGTGGTTTACTTCGACTACATTAAGCCCCACATCCGCCACACGGAGCACAAGGCCAATGTGATCATGAAGCTGTTCGTCCTTTTTGCGGGCATCTACTGTATCTTTGGCGGCATGGTGGTGGAGAAGTTCAACTCGATTCTGCAGGTGATCTACTCGATCGGAGGCGTTAGCTTTGGCTCCACCTGTGCGGTTTTCCTACTGGGAATGCTGGTGCCGAGATCACATGGGAAAGTGAGTGTTTTTGGAGAGTTTCTTGTGGCTTGAGCCTTGAATATAATCCACTTAATCCTGTTTAGGCTGCCTTGACCGGAGTGATAACCAGCATAGCCATCATGTCCACTATTGTAATCTGCAGTTGGGGACGAAACCATTACGATACTCTGCCCAAAACCACCGAGGGTTGTCCAGCTTCCTCTGTGAATGAAACCCTGACCAGCACAGCTGCTTCTCTGCAGCTCAGTTCCACTACGGAAGCCCCCCTTAAGGATGAGGGTTTCAGCATTTTAGATCTTACCTTCAACTGGTATGTGGTGGTGGGCTTCATCCTCACCTGGCTGGTTGCCATTCCTCTGAGCTTTATCCTGAAGCCAAAGTCGGACTACAAGCTGGATCCCAAGCTGCTCTCGCCGGTGGTGCAGCCCTTCGTCAACTATGAATTGGCCCAAGGCGAGGAGCCGCACGAACTGAAGCTGGAGAAGCCCGAAAAGGTCTGAGAAGGACTAGAATGAGATGTGACTGCGACTGTGACATAGGATGTGCTTCATAAGCATCAGTTTTAAAGATATTATAAGATAGAAATCTTTATTTCAGCTTCACACTAGGGGATTATAATTTAGAATTTTAAAAGTTCTTTGTTGTTAATATGATTTGTGTGTAATTTTAATAAAAAGAATTATAAAATAAAAAAAATGTATGGAAATCAAATTAAAAAAATTAGCGTCTTAAATTGAAATTTTAGTTTTGAAAATATTTTAATTTTAGTGAGATCTTACTGTATTTTAATGAGCAGTTGAATCCAGCGGATACCAGACCGATGACCAGACAGATTAAGGCTGTCTGCAAAGAGAAAACCACCACGAAACTTGCTATCTTAATCAACTATAAAGTCTATATGGCCATAGAAGCAGTCTTCTCCAGGACAGTATCTAAAAATAAAATCTCTGGAGAGACCCACAGAGATCGTAAATCGCGCAACTCGCTAAAAATGCTTATCGCCGACATTGGCCAAATATTTAAGCCGTAATCGGTGGGCCAACGGTGTTAAGCTCCCCACACACTCCGCCAAAGGGTCGTATACAACCAAGGGGTGGGTAACCTGGTAGAACCCACAACCCAAGTATTTACTTTTGTCACAAAATATGAAATTATGCAAATACAAACAATGAAAATGGAAAGTTCCAAACGAAGCGCGCGAAGAGTAAATAGATTTTTTCACAGGAAAACACCTTGTGATGAGTGCTTCTGGTCATGATTATACAACTATTTTGCATGGAAAAAGAGGAGCTAAGAATTCTCCAAACATGTCTAGAAAGTCAGCGTGAAAAATTAAATAAACTCGGAAAAAGAGGCACGCGGCTCGAATAAATTAAGTTAATAACAAAAGCCATCTTGGATATAGGAGGCTTAGTTCTGGTTTCAACAAAAGCCTCTCTAATCACATTTTATGTTTCTAAATTTAGGTTTGCCACAGCAAAATTAAGCTTATTACAATTATAATGGGAGAGTAAATAGTATAGTAAAAACAATGAGTATTTAATTACAGATAAGTAAGCAGCAAATGATTACACATTACAGATTAGCTTAGTTGGGCAAACACTGAGCACTGTCTTTGAAACGCACTGTAAAGATAGATTGTCACATTTTATAGATTCCCTTTATTTATTTAAAGCTTACTTATTATTTCAACAAGGAGCGGAAACTGCAAACTATTAATCTTAAATGTAAATAAGTATTTATATGCCGACTTTCACATTTAAAATTTTATTTATATTCTCTGCCATCCTTAATCCTTAATCTTGTTGGGAATTTTGTTATCCACAATTTGTAGCACCTGTGAACTCGTTTTCAAACACAAATGGCGTATTAAGAAAGAGTTTGTAAAAACATAGCTCCGATCCGATTCCCTAGTTCAAGTTTCAGCCAACACCCATATATCTCAGTCCCCCCGGCCAAGATGGAAGAACCAGAGGCCAGGCAAACACAAATAGTACAATATAAGAGCCGCCCACTGGCTCCTGATAAGTTAGCGCTAATCCCCCCTGATTTACGGGGAGGCAGAGCAGCATCAAGTTCAGATAAGGAGGCGCAAGCGATATTTAAGTACAAACCAGAGCCAGGGTGCCTCAAGTTTGCTCCCAGCATCCGTGCCATGTGAACCATCATTTGAAGAAGACCCAGCAAAAAGTCCTTTCTGACAATTAACCAAAAGCGAATCACCAATCAGGATGTCCACGGCCAACACAATGGCTGCCGCTTCGCAGGACCTGAGATTTGGTGTAACGGACTACGTCGTCTTCGTCGTGATGCTCTGTTGCTCGGCTGGCATAGGCGTGTACTTTGGCTTCTTCTCCAAGGCCAAGAACACCACGGAGGAGTATCTGCGCGGCGGAAAGAAGATGCAAACCCTGCCCATAGCCATATCTTTGGTGGCCAGGTGAGAGAGTATAGCGGTCTTTGGCGGTCCCAGCCGGATTCCTCTCGATTCCGTCACGATCTACACTATCTTTATGGATAACCATAAAAAACGGGTTGCGTCAATTGGATGACAGAGACGTGCTTCAAAGAAACACTAAGGATTTGGAACAAATCTTGTAATAAAGATTGTGTAACAACGCGGAACTCAGGGGGAATCTTTGGATATCGATTCGAAATTGTAGTTCTTAGTAAAAAATACTTTATTTTTCTTAATTTGTATTTTTGTTTTAATTATTTTAGTCAACTGTCGGGCATTGCCATCATGTCCATTCCCGCGGAGAGCTACACCTATGGCTTTAACTACATATTCGTGGTTCTGGCCATGTTGGCAGTGATTCCCATCCTGATCTACATTATTGTGCCTGTTTTTTACGAGAATAATGTTTCCAACTGCTATGAGGTTAGTGGTCTCTCAAATTTAAATTTAAATTAATTGTAATTATATTTTAATTTGCTTTTATTTTCAGTATCTGGAGATGAGATTTAATAAGCGCACCCGGCAGCTGGTGACCGCCACCTTTGTGATGAACTCCTTCCTGATGCTGCCTGTATATATGTTTATTCCCTCTCTGGCCTTTGCCCAGGGTAAGTGGAGATCCTTTTCCCTCTAAAATCTGCTAAGATCTCCTCCCCTCTCCTACAGTCACCGGCGTAAATATCCACCTGATCAATGTGATGGTCTCCTCCATTTGCATCTTCTACACCATGCTGGGTGGCATCAAGGCTGTGGTTTGGACAGATGTCGTCCAGGGCGGCATTATGTTGCTCTCTGTTGTTGCCGTGGGAGTTTTGGGCACTATTCGCTCCGGTGGCGTCTCCACAGTTATGGATTATGCCTCTGAGGGAGGCCGCTTTAACTTTGAGTGAGTTGGATAGTAAAATTTTAATCAGACTCTTATTTTAATATCTCCTATCCCACAGCTTCCGCTGGGATCCTCGCATCCGCATGACTTTCTGGAGTGGCACTATGGGCGGTATCTTCATGTGGACAGGTCATATTGGCTTGAACCAAAGCTGTGTCCAGCGCATTGTATCCCTGCCTTCGTACTTTCATGCCAAGAAGTGAGTTTTTAAATTTTTCAAATAATAATTCTAGAAAATATTTAAATGAGAATCACCAGGATTTTTAAATGCCCTTAAAAGAGGCATAAATCTACCTACCAACGCGGAACTCAGGGGGAATATTTCATTATCTACTTTAAATTTAAAAGAAATCGTATTTTGAAAATATATTTATATAATGAAAACTCGCACTTACTTTATTATTATTTCGTCTCCTTCCTCAGATCCCTGGTCATTGCTGGCTTGGGCTTTCTGGTCATCTGTTTCTTCAACACCATCTCGGGAATTATTATGTTTGCTCGCTACTATGGCTGCGATCCCATGTTGGCTGGTGTAAGTTCGGACTTTAAAATTAATTATAAATTATTTAATATAAGAGAATTACTTACAGCTGGTCAGCAAGCCGGACAAGATGATGCCCTTCTTTGTGCAGGACATCATGGGTCATTTGGCTGGAATGCCGGGCGTGTTCATCTCCTGCGTTTTCAGTGCTGCCCTGAGCTCCCTTTCCGCCACACTGAACTCCCTGGCCGGCGTGGTGTACTTCGATTACATTAAGCCCAGGATCAGGCACACTGAAGCGCGGGCCAACTGGACCATGAAGCTGATTGTCGTCGTGATGGGAGGCTACTGTATCCTGGGCGGATTTATGGTGCAGAACTTCAACTCGATCCTGCAAACTGTGGTCACTATTACGGGCATCAATACGGGCGCCGTTGTGGGCGTCTTCCTCCTGGGAATGTTCGTGCCCCGCTGCAATGCCAAGACAGCGGTCACCAGCATTATTTTCAGTGTGATTGCCATGGTCTGGGTGATTGCCAATGGCCAGATGAACTTCAAGTCGGGCCTGATCAAGTACGAAGTCCTGCCGAATACACTGGATCAGTGCGAGGCTCGGGGTCTGCACATGATTTCAGATGCAATGTAAGTAGAGCAACCTAATTTTAGATAAAGATTCTACAGTTACCTTCCCTTTCCATTCCAGCAACAAGACGGACTTTACACCGGTCACAGTGAAGCCTCCTTCCGGGGCACCCGTTACCACCGCCTTTGAAAGCAATCGCGACTTCTCCCTCTACGACATCTCGTTCTATTGGTACAAGGTACTTGGCACCGCCCTGATCTTCCTGTGGGCAGTGCCCATGAGCTATGTCTGGCGGCCGGATAAGAACGAGAAACAGAATCCCAAGCTGTATTCTCCATTTGTACGCAAGTTCCTTTCCCTTCCGCCGGCGGAACAGGAAATGGAGGAGGCGCCATTGCGAGGAGACAAAGTCAGAGATGTACCCAACCTTCGGATAGATCCGGGCGATAAGGAAAAGGAAGCTGGTCTCGAGTACTGATTCTACTTAAGTATTGTTAGTATACTTATATACTTGCGCTGAAATATTGATTATTAAGTAAACTAAATAAAGGAAAAAATTAAATTAAATTAAATAAGAAATTTTATTTAAAATGGGCATAAAAGGAATTCAGTGGAGTTGGGAAAACAGCAACAAATTGTAGTAGATATAATACATAATACAATGCAGAAAGAAATTTGATAAAAACGGATATTCTTTTTTTTTACATAAAAATATTAAAATATCCTAAAAACCCATCTGTTTTTATAATTAAACTAAGGATATATACATTTGGAGAGGAACAACCCGAATTTCAGATTAATATATTTAATATTACATCGAAAACCGACTTTCAAGATATATTTTTTCTGTCTATAAACCTATAGAGATAAGTATTTAAAACTAGGTCAGAAAACAAAAACACCACTTAAAAATCAAATATATTCCTAATACAATAAAATAATAATTAATATCATAAATATTTACATAAATAAATATCATTCAAAACTCTAACATCCCAAGAAAACTAATATAAAATCCCCTACCTATCCCTATTTCACCACAGCCTCCGTTGATCTCGGCAGAAACTTTCCATATAAAGCGCCTTGGAGGGCATCTGAAGGACGGACTTCAATTTGCATCATAATTAGACTCGCAGATGCGTACGACAACCTCTTACTTCGCTTGGAGAATCAAGTTCATCATCATCGTCATCAGCATCCGTTATCAATGCCAGAGAAAGAGACACTCTGGGTCCAATGGGTTCAAGTTCTTGTAATCAGAACAAGAGTCTCCAACGATGGATCGTATTCCGTCTGTAAGATTCCAAAGGATCGGGATTTGATCAGTATCGACGAATGAGTTGACATTTAAAACAAAAGGAGAATGAGGGCACGACACCAACTCCGGATCCCAATGCCGATTCCGGACAAGACCAGTTCTGTGTAAGGCAGATTAGGAGTGCTCCTGATTTACGATGTGGCTGCTCTGATTACGAGACGCACTTAGGTAGATATCGTGATGAGATAAGGATGGATACTGCTACTTAAGAAGCGTGTCCAAGCCGATCTCCACAAGTGTGCTGGCAGCATCAACCAGAGGCAAAGCTCATTCAGGCTTCTCCAACAGGATACAGGATACAGGACACAGACTACAGGATACTCCACCAATATGGCAACCACCGCCAGCGTTTTGGCCAGCACAGTGGCGGCCACATCATCAGCCGCCTTGGAGGATCTCCGGTTCAGTCTCACCGACTACATCGTCTTCGCCCTGATGCTGAGCGCCTCGGCAGGAATTGGCGTGTACTTTGGGTTTTTCTCGAAGGCCAAAAACACCACCGAGGAGTATCTGCAGGGCGGCAAGCGGATGCCCACCCTTCCGGTGGCCATTTCCCTGGTCTCCAGGTGAGTGTCGTGCCCGCTTTTTCAATAAATTTCCATGTCGTCACAGACGGTATAAAGATACAACCAGACACAGGGGCTATCATAAAGATAAAGCCACCGATATCAAGGCGCCTTTACTCATCTCCAGCCCATCTATTATGTCTATCCATCTTATCTAAACTGCGCATGCCAGGATGATATATGGAATCCATAAACCTGCCCGTGGGCTTAGATGAGTTGCATTATCCCGCAAACCTTGTGAAATTAATCGTAATCATGTTCGAGCCCCTTTTTTTGTGTCCGGAGAACGTGGTGACTTCTGTTTCAAGTTTATAAAGAGTTCCTTAATCCCTTTACAGCCAGCTTTCCGGCGTGGCCATGATGTCTGTGCCATCGGAGACCTATTCCTTTGGCTTTAATATGATCTTCGTTGTCTGGGCTATGGTTCTGGCGGTTCCGGTTCTCATATATGTGATAGTGCCCGTCTTTTACGAGAACAATGTTTCCAACTGCTACGAGGTGAGTGTGACTCCTTCTGCGTCCTTAACTTTATGATCCAAACGTGCGAGAAAATTGTTGCGTTTTTAGAATTATAAAGATTACAGCTCGTGACGATCTAAAAATAATGTGTATTATCCAACTTTATTTGCCCAGTACCTGGAGATGAGATTCAGCAAGCGTACCCGCCAACTGGTCACCATTACCTTCATCATGAACCAATTCCTGATGCTGCCCGTCTACATGTTTGTCCCGGCCCTGGCCTTCTCCCAAGGTACAATGGAAATCGATTTTAATGGCCAGAGAGAGACCAATGCAATTAAAATTCATTTTCATTTACAGTCACCGGCTACAACATCCACCTGATCAACACTGTGATCTCCTCCATCTGCGTCTTTTACACGATGCTGGGCGGGATTAAGGCTGTGGTTTGGACCGATGTGGTGCAGGGAGGCGTCATGCTGCTCTCTGTTATCCTGGTGGCCGTTTTGGGCACCTCGAACACGGGTGGTTTGGGCAATGTCCTGACAAATGCTGCCGAGGGCGGTCGCTTTGATTTCAAGTGAGTTTTTTAAAGTACTTAAATTTAATTCATATAATAAGTAACTTTTTCTTCAGTTTTGGTCTGGATCCTCGCCTGCGTATCACCTTCTGGGGGGGTATTTGCAGTGGGCTGCTCATGTGGACAGGTAAACTTGGTCTGGACCAGAGCTGCGTGCAAAGGATTGTCTCCATGCCCTCGTATACTCATGCCAAGAAGTGAGTTTTAAATTATAGAAAAGTCTTCTATATCAAATTGATTTTTTAACACAGGTGTCTTTTGATGGCTGGCGTTGGCTTTCTGCTTGTCATGTCCTTCACCTGCTTCGCTGGCATCATCATGTTTGCCTACTACTACGGCTGTGATCCCGTTCAAGCCGGGGTAAGCCACGCAAAGGAACCTTCTTTACCTTCTCATTCAATCCCTTCTCCATCTTTTAGCTGGTTAGCAAGGCGGACAAACTGATGCCGTTCTTCATCCAGGACATTATGGGCCACCTGATGGGCATGCCAGGCGTCTTCATCTCCTGTGTGTTCAGTGCCTCCCTGAGCTCCCTCTCAGCCAGTCTGAATTCCTTCGCTGGAGTAGTGTACTTTGACTACATCAAGCCGCGCATTAACCACACAGAGGCCAGGGCCAACGGCATTATGAAGATGACAATCGTCGTGATGGGCGCATATTGTATCCTGGGCGGCTTCATGGTGCAGAACTTCAACTCCATAATCCAGACCATGTGGACAATTACGGGCATCAATACGGGCGCCGTCGTGGGCGTCTTCCTCCTGGGAATGTTTGTGCCCCGCTGCAATGCCAAGGTAGCAGTGACAGGCATCGCCTTCAGTGTGCTGGGCATGTTGTGGATCATCATCAATGGCCAGCTCAACTTTAAGGATGGCCTGATCAAGTACGAACCCCTGCCGAATGGTCTGGACAAGTGTGATGCCCCTCAGTTCCAGGTCATCCTAAATGCTATGTAAGTTAAGAATATATAAAAATAATTCCCTTGACCAACTCCTTTAACTGCAGAAACAGCCAGAACTTGACCACCACTCCCCTACCTTCTCTGGAAGCCCCCAAGCCAGTGACCACTGCCTTTGGCAGCGACCGGGACTTTTCCATTTACGACATCTCCTTCTACTGGTACAAAGTGCTGGGGGCCCTGCTGGTCTTCGCCTGGGCCATTCCCATGAGCTATGTGTGGCCCACGGCCAAGGATGAGAAGCAAAATCCCAAGCTATACTCGCCCTTTGTGAGGAAGCTACTGAACCAACCAGGTCCTGTTTTAGAGTTGGAAGAGCTGCCTCTGAAGGCGCCACTCCCGGACGAGGAGGAAGTCAAGGAGAAGAATAATGGCACTGTCAGGGATGCCTGATGGAAAGACATCATCACATTTGTACACTAGCATTATAATAGTATAGAAATAATTACGAAAATAATCATAGATTAAAGGTCAGCACAAGAGGGAGTCCTTAAATCAGGATCAAAGTTAATAAAATAGGAAATGTAAATTACTGAACGCATATCTTATAGATATTAATGTTTATTAATAAACCTAATAAAAGAGCAATCTATAAACACTCAAGCCTAGATCCTTGCTAGTTTCGCCCAAAATACGCTTCGTTTTTCTTTTGTATTTTTTAAAGATTTATTTACAAAAGAATATTCAAATGAAGATGTCTTATACAGAAGAAAAGCTACATACAAAAACGGTCTGACTGATCATTTCAGTTGCAACGGCTTCCAAAACTAATTTACGCTTTTGATGTATATTTATATATCATTATCATATATATTATTATTATTAATATTATTAGAATTTGTGTTTTGCTCCGCCTGTTTTTCATTGAAAAAGTTTACAATTCTCTTTACTCTAATTTGTTAGGTATAATTACGAATCCAGTTTAGGAAAGAGGAGACCTAGCACAACAATTTTATCCGCTCAGAAGAACTAAAAATGCTTCAAATAACACAGGATTTGAAGTACAAAGAAATATTGAAAAATATAATTAAGGTAATGCATGGAGACGAATTATCTTAATAGCCGCAGAGCATTTGTATTGCGTCGTTACAAGGTTTTAAAATCTTTCTGCGTTTTATAAAGTTTGCTTATGTTTTTGAGTGTTGGCTGTCCAAAAGGTTGCTTTTTTTGTTTACAATTAGAGATATTATGTGTCTTACGATTTAAAAACATCTATTTTACATACATTTCGGGTCAATGTATCATTTGTTTGATTCCAATTTGATTAATTATACACATACATATTATATTAAGATTCCACAATCTGTCTGTGTACATAGTTCGGGGAAGTGGGGCACGGGTGGGTGGGTTAGGTTAAGAAGGGGACACGCCTTTCTCTGCTCGTCTGTCTAGTTAGTTGACGCACACAGAGTGCAACATTGAAAGTCCAGCATCGATTGCAGCCTATGGCGTCCTCTCGCGTCAACCGAATACGGAAGACTCAAAACTATCATCAAATTAAAGTTATTTTAGAGTCAATCAATAAGAAAATCATAAATGTGTGGGTGTGGATTTTTTGGGGGGAACTCTTAAATGTTTTTGCTTTTGTAGTTGGCGACATCCAGGAACCAACTCGGCGGGCGAGCTGAAGATGCTTTTTGTACACATCCGGGGTTGCCCATCGGTGGATCTGCCTTAGTTACAGACCTTTGGCGCTGCAATCTCAGCCACATCGGCGGAATTGTTGACGATCTTGGGCTCGCCTAAAGAAGAACGTCTGGTTAAATATTTAATCTTCCTCCTCCTTCTTCTCATTACTCACCATTGACATTGATTTCGGCCTTGGCCGGCGACTCCTTAACAGGACTCTCCGCCAGTACCACGTTCTTCTCGACTTCTACGGTCTTGGCAACATCGTTGGTGGCGGGGGCGACGACTGGGACTGGAACTTCAGCGGCAATGGGCGTGGCGCTCTCTGCCTCCTTGGGCTCCGCAGAACTCACATCCCCCTTGGGCACCTCGCTGATATCTGTTTCCTTGGGTATGCTGGTCTCCTTGACCTCCTCCTCCGTGGACTCGACCACCGTACTTTCGGGTTCCTTGGTGACCACCTCGTCAGCTGGCACTTCAGCAACAGTTGCTTCCTTGACCTCTGTGGCCACTTCATCGACTGTACTCGATTCCTTAGCCTCCACTGCAACTTCTGGTGCAGGCTTTGGCTCTGGGGCAGCGGCCTCAGCTGCGGGTGTGTCAACTTGAGCTGTGTCCGAACTGCTCTTCGAACTGCCATCCACCTCCATGGGCTCCGGGGTGGGTTCCTTGGCAGGTTCAGTTATCTTCTCCTCCGCAACTGCAACAGGTTCGGTCTTCTCCTCAGGTTTCTTGTCAACTGGTGCGGGTTCTGAAACAGCAGCCGGTGTTGTTTCGGCAGCCGGCTCTTCATCGTCCACCTCCATGGCGGCGGGAGCAGGATCTTCAACGGCTGGAGCAGCAGGAGTTTCTGAGGCGGCACCGTTTTCTGAAGTCTCTTTCGGTGGGTCTTCAGCCTTTGGCACCTCCTCGGCTGGCTTCTCGGTGTCATCTGTGCTTTGTTTGGCTTCAGCCACATGGTTTTGTTTCTCCTCTGCAACAACAGGCAGTTCCCCTACAGCATCTGGTTGATCTGCGCTTTCAGCTGGCTTGGCTTCTGTTTTTGTCGACTCGTCAGCCTGCTTATCCGCCTCCTCGGCTTCCGCTTCAGGTTCAGCATCAACTTCAGCTTCGACAACCTCATCCTCTTTGGCCGGCTTTTCCGCCTTCTTCACCTCCTTCTTCTCCTTCTTGGCGGGGGTCTGAAAGGTTGTTTGTTCATTAGTTTCAAGTCGAAGTCATGGTTGAGCTGTTGTTGTTTACCTTTCCCTTGGATGGTGTCTGTACCTTTTCCGGCTCTGGCTCGGCTGGCTCCTCACCGCCCACGTCCAGCTTGCGTGCCCCACGTCCCTTTCCAGCTCCGCCGCTCGCCTTTGCGGCCGAAGCGGGCGATGTGCGTGCCTTCTTGCTGGGCGGCGGCGTCGCCGGCGTATCGCTGGCCCGAGTCGGGGTCCCGCGAGTACTGGATCGCGTGCGCCGTCCGCCCTCGAGCTCCAGACTACCTCCCATAGTCCGCACCAGCTCCTCGCTTTCGCGCTGCGCCCGCTCAATAAACGAGCGGCGTTTGGGAGTGCGTTTCTGTAATGGGCGAAAAAATGGCATTGCAGATTTGAAAGATATCAGTTAATAACAGAGATTAACTTCTTATTAGTTAATAAAAAATGAAGTAAAGCCAGAAATCTGTTTTTTTCTGCAGAAACTATATTCAAACTGTTTTCTATGATTGAAAATATTACAGTACGCGCTCGATAAGTAAACTTTACCAACATCAAATTAAAAATGGAATATTTATTGTGTTAAATTAACTAATTATGAATTTTATGTCATTAAGAATATTCTATTTCTAAAAACGGATGTTTACTGTAACGATCAACTACTGTATTTCTATGGGCAAATGTTCTCAAGTGACACTGTATGAACACGCACACAGATTGCCCATTCAACCGGCTAAAGCCAACCCAAATGGCCCATATAATGGTGAGCCCAGTGAGCCTTTACTAATTACCGCAGATCAGGGGGGTGAGGAGTTAAAGCCCGACTAATCGAAAACCTAAAATCGGCGGCTAAAGAATTAAAACCGAATCTGGAGCGCAACGTATCGCATACATACACGAACGGAACGCAGGCAGCGGATGCAAGTGTTTGTGATTCCCTCTATGTATGACAAAGTACAGCAAACAACAAAAAGTCGAAAAGGGAACCAGCAAAAATAAAAACAAACGAGACGCGGCAGCGGCAAAACGTGAGCACAAAAGGGAAACGCCGATTGCCGCTCTCCCCGTCTCTTTCCCTCTGCCGCCAGCACCGACCTCTTCTTCTTGCCCTCTTCAGCGAGTAGCACACGTATACACACACGAGCACACACCGAGGAAAAGCGCGCGCACACGAGGGTAGGCAAAAGAAACGTTGAAAAGAGAAACGTAAATAGAAAATGGACAGCGAAGCGAAATGGAAATGCACAAAAATTCACCCACACCCACAGAGTTCCTTTGGAAAAACACCGTGATAATTCGGGCGAAGCCTGCCTGTGTGTGTTATCGCCGCGCTAATTGTCCCCAATACATACACATGTGTGCGCCGCGGCGGCGGCTACTTACGGGTGTCTTCTTGTCCTGCTCCTCCTCCACGCTGGTGTCCAGCACCGCCTCCGGCTTCTGGGCCACAGTTGCCTCCGACATGTTCAGTTTTGCAGTCGCTATTTCGCAATATCCAAATTCGAAGCTCTCGAAGCGCTGGCGAGTTTCGGCTCGGCTCAATCGCACACAGTTACAGGTAACTCGACACACACGCCACGCTGGGCATACCGTGAACGCGCAACTTTTACAAACGCCGTTTGCGAGCAGTGGCCACGAGGGGGACGCTAGAGCTGGGAAACTATCGATGGTACTATCGAGGTATCGACTTTTTCCTTTTTTTGAGCCACCATCGATAGTTTTTTATCACTATCGATAGTACGGGACTATTTTTATATCTCTGCTTTGTTGCTGAAATTTAGTAAGAAAAATGCAAACAAATATATATATATATGTATATATATATTTTTTTTTTTTATAATAAAAATGTATTCTAAATTAACTTAAATTGGAGTTGGTGGTGAAAAATATTAACTGAATCTCAAAAGAAAGGGTGCGTCTACGCCACGTCTTCAGAGTCTAAGCGTATGTTTAGCAATGGTAATACAATTTTATTTGTGCAAAGTTGCTTGGATAGAATATTTATGTTAATTACTTAGTCAAAACATATTGAATAGTATTATAATTCTATTTGAAATTGCTATAACTTTAATTTGCAAAAAGAATCGTAAAAAAACGATACTATCGATAGTATCGAATTTTCGTTTTCAAAACATCGAAAATATCGAATGGTGTCACTATCGATAGTTTCCCAGCTCTACTCTTTGGATGCAGGGAAAAACCTATAACCTGGCCACACTGGACCAAGAGGCAACACGCGCTGGCCACACTGGACGGCAGCCACGATCTGGCACTTTTGGTCGCTCGTTCACTGACAGTCTGGTAATTTGGTCGCTCATGCACTGACGATCTGGCAACGCTGGTCGCTCATGCACTGACGATCTGGCAACGCTGGTCGCTCGTGCCATGAGCGACCAAAAGTACCAGATCTCCCCACTCAAGAACCAATAAAATACTAAAAAGCAACACGGGCTGGTCACACTGGTAGCTGGGACCGAAAAGTCTGGCAACTCTGGTAGGTGGGACCGAAAAGTCTGGCAGCACTGTGAGCTCGTACATTAGCGTTGCCAGACTTTTCGACCGCCGACTCGACAGCACTGCCAGCCAAAGCAACAGGCCTCTTTATTGCAGAGTTTCGCAACACTAAACAATTAAGCAAAGCAACAGATCAAATACCCCTTTTTTTGCAGTGTACAACAAATTAAACAACGCAGCAGAGAGCCGTGTTTTAGTTATTTCTTAAAAGGTAACAATAGTTAGTCCAGACTATTGGAATATCGCGAAAGTTGACGTTTCTGCTGCTCCCCAACCCCTTCCAGAGGGGGTCTAAATGAAGTGAAATTGGCCCGGAGGCCGTGGCCCTAATTAAAAAGAGTTTGTTTTAGTGGAGGCAGAGGCGTGCATAGGCGGGGGGATATTCTCTTAGTTGCTCATTTGGCAAGACCTGTTTTGTTGTTTTTGCAGTGCCAGTGATGCTAGAAATCGTTAATCAGTCGGATCTGACCCCAAACACGCCGCCGCGACAGCACTGCTAGCCAGATTGATCAAGAGCCTCTTGTTTTTTGCAGTGTTTCGTGATCTGGAATCGTTGTTGTGTCCAAACAGGTGCCACAGGTGCAAGTGAAAGCCAGTTGCAAGCGAGAAAACCATCAGAATGCCGCCCGTGCAGTAAGCAGACTCTTGTTCCGCCCCACATCTCAAACGTCCTTGGGCCCGCGCCGCCCACCATCGATTGCGTCACTAGTCCTCGTCCTCGTAAATAACGCCTTTTAGGGCTGCCAAACATGCAACTCATCAGCGCTTTTACCCGAGTTAATCCACTAAAACCCCGGGCGGGTCGGGTCGCCCGCCTCCCATTCAGGTGCACTTTTCCTGCCAGATGTTTGCTTCAGCAATGACGTCATGGCCACACTCGAATTTATTTATAAACGCCACCGTGCGTGCGAGTGTGGGCGTGTATGTGGGTTGTTTACTATTTGCTTGCGTCAGTGTGCGTGCGGTATACTCTGCCCAAAAAAGTAGCCCATCCGCCTTGCTTGGCGCTTGTACTCCAACTGGCGGCATACATACTCAATCTACATTTAAGGAACGCCAAAACGAAGCTTTCCAGGGAGTGCATTCGGCGGAAATATGATTCAGCGTCAACAGAGCCGGCTGTGCGATAAGGCCTCCTCATGCTCATTGCTCTGACCAGTTCCTCGCTTCACGCCCTGCCCTAAAGTCGCAATTCATTCGCTTCTCGAACCCCAAAACCATAACTCGAAACCATGATGTACTCCAAGGCTGAAGTGTAAAGGCCTCCCGCCCATACTAACTAACTAATTCTCAACCCATGTCGATCTTTCCAGAGTCCAGGCAGTCAACATGTCGCTGGGTGCAATGCATTGCACGCGGTGCGCCGACGGATTCGAGCCCACCGAGAAGATTGTCAACTCCAATGGAGAACTCTGGCACACTCAGTGCTTTGTGTAGGTTCAGAAGTACATCTCCCCCGGAACTCCCCAATAATGAGTCTAATTAATGTTTCCAGCTGTGCCCAGTGCTTCCGGCCCTTCCAGGATGGCATCTTCTACGAGTTTGAGGGCCGCAAGTACTGCGAACGCGACTTCCACGTCCTCTTCGCTCCGTGCTGCAACAAGTGCGGAGAGTTCGTCATCGGGCGAGTCATTAAGGCGATGTCCGCCAGCTGGCATCCACAGTGCTTCCGCTGCCAGCTGTGCGCCAAAGAGCTGGCCGACTGTGGGTTCATCAAGAACCAGAACCGCGCCCTGTGCCACGAGTGCAATGCCAAGGTGAAGGCAGAGATTACGGGCCGCTATGTATGCCAAAAATGCCAGTAAGTGCTGATGTGTGGCTCAGCGAGGGGATTACTCATTGATTGTTCTCCGTGTTTTCAGCGGCCTCATCGACGAGGAACCCCTGCGATTCCGAGGTGAAGTCTACCATGGCTATCACTTCAGTTGCACGGCCTGCGGCACTGAGCTGGACTCCACGGCCAGGGAAGTGAAGAGTCGCCCCGGCTTGGCTGCCAACGATATGGTGCGTATTTTGAAGGGAGCTATTTTGTGTCAACTATTCACATTCATTTCCAAAACAGAACGAACTCTACTGCCTGCGCTGCCACGATAAAATGGGCATTCCCATCTGCGGCGCCTGTCGTCGCCCCATTGAGGAGCGCGTGGTTACGGCGCTGGGCAAGCACTGGCATGTGGAGCACTTTGTGTGTGCCAAGTGCGAGAAGCCTTTCCTGGGCCACCGGCACTACGAGAAGCGAGGCTTGGCCTACTGCGAGACGCACTACCATCAGCTGTTCGGCAATCTTTGCTTCGTCTGCAACCAGGTCATTGGTGGCGATGGTGAGTCACCCGTATTATCACCCGTGTGTTCCCCCAAGGGCTTATCCAATTCTTCGCAACAGTTTTCACGGCTCTGAACAAGGCCTGGTGCGTGCACCACTTTGCCTGTTCCGTCTGCGACACGAAGATGACCCAGAAGTCCAAGTTCTACGAGTACGATGAGAAGCCGGTGTGCAAGAAGTGCTACGAACGTTTCCCCAACGAGCTGCGGCGCCGCCTGCGCACCGCCCACGAGATGACCATGAAGAAGAACCCATAAGAATCTGGATCGAGTCCACACCAAACACAGTGCCTTTGCCAACCAATTTTAACATTCGAGAACTAAACCCAACTTTGTGCATGTTGTAACTTATTGTTGTGCGTAACTTTCTAATTTAAAAGCCAAGCGTCGATGGCAGCTCAGAGCTAGAAACGGATTTTGATTGTGTATTAACAGCCATTAATGTTGTTATTTAATTGAATTTTATTTATACGTATAAAACGGTTTGAAAATCAATATTTTTTGGTGTGTTTCACCATTTGGAATAGGTCTTTGCTTAGCAGATTACAAGCTCATCAACTTTTCGACCAGCGATCGGCTTTTTATAACGGCTATATCGGCTATATACATAACCGCATCAACGTGAAGCAGTTGGTGCACCTTGACGGTTTCCGATAAGTAGGCAACCTGTTTTAGACTCGGTTTATGCGGGAAGCCTGCGAATGGAATGTTTTGTATTGGCATTACATCTGGAAAATATCACAAACCTTCAATCATGCAAATGTTGGTGGTGCACGGAGTGGTAAAGTCCAAAGGATACCGACGGATATCATACTCGGTTAGAGTCGCCGCATTGGTGTAGTCCAAGTACATCACTCGATATTCGGTTTGCTGCGCCGTAACCTTTACCTGTTCCACTCGGGCACGATACCAGGAGCCCTTGAACCGGGCCAGCACGAATTCCTTGGATCTAGGGGGAACGTATTGTTATAAATTGATTAACCAACGAGCAAAGATGCAGTTACGCTGGCCTGTACGGCTCCGAATCGGTAATCTCCGCCAAACGAGAGTGCAGGGTGGAAAACTCCGAGGCAAATGAGCAATCGAATGCCCCAAAAATACCCCGAGCTATTTTCGAGACATCCACAACGTATACGTCGATACCTTCTCCGCTTGAAACAGTAAGGCGGCGCATTTTAAATGGCTAAAAAGGTAAAATTAATTAACGGTTATTTTAAAGGAAATTTAGCTCCATGTTACCGGTACGAGGACAGCTCCAGCAGTTCCATTTTCTTGAGACTTTGGCTGGGAGTGCGGCATCTGCAGCTCCTGTGGCTCCTTAAGTTTTACCGGTGCCTCCGCCTCCTCAGTAGAATTTGAACCTGGCACAGTGGGTCTGGCGACCAGACAACGCGTTAGGAAGTCCCTGACTGTTTCATCTTTGGTTTTTGAAAGAGGGAAAGGAGCTCGAACATTCTTATCATTGTCCAATGATGTTACATCCGTTTTAGGCTCTTGGGGCAAGCTCTCTATTTTAGAAGTTGGTTTAGCAGCTTCAGTGCTTTCACCCGATTCTTTGGCACAGTCATCATTCTGTGGTTTTGCTATATCTTTGTTTTCGTTTAATTTCTCCTGAGTATCGATCATTTTCGTATCTTGAATAAGAGTGTTGCTTCCTTTCCCAGCTTCAATGTTATTCTTATTATTGCTGACTGGCGATTCGATTGGATTGGGTTTATTCAAGGCCGGCCCAGCGTTAGGGTTCTGTTGCCTGGGTGGCTCTTTATCGACCTTGTTTTTGTTATTTGTGAAGGGACTCTCAAACACCTTCTTGTCCATGCAAAACTCACAGATCCGGGTATTGAGGGACGTTTTGGTTTCCGGATCCAGCAGCTCAACGTTAATAGCGCCAGGGCCTTTCGTATATAGGACCAAAAACTTTCCACCCTCGAATTGGGAGAGGAACTTGGTGACATCGTCGGTGAAGGCATAGTTGGGAACGTCCTTCAGCTGCACCTGGACACTAAAGGAGGGCAGTGACAGCAGTTCTTCGCTGATCTCGCGCATATCTGAAAGTCTTTGGACCTTGACGATTCCCTGATCGAAGAGCAGGATTCGCGCGGTATTGTTGCTCGTTTTGGTCATCACCGAAGCTCTGTGGAACGTGCCATTGTAAAGGGCCAGACAGTAGGCGTGGGGGCGTACATCCACCACTCTGGGCATTTGCTTTCCCATGGCATTGACCTGCACAGCAGAGTTGAACGCAAGTTAGAGTTTGAGAATAACATCTACGGCAAACCATTCAAGTATGTGGGCATTTTTTCGGAATCAGATTGCAGTGTAAGCATTTATACAGACCTTTTCGCGCATTTGAGCAAATGCCTTGTCAGCAGCTTCGGAGGCATCACGTATATGGCAGCGGTTCGGGGAGCGGAATCCTGAGATGATTATGAGGCTTTTGCTCGGAGGCACGATCGCTTTTGGCGGCGGAACATGTTTGTTGCTCGCTTTGAATGTGTTGTTATTCGAGACGATGCTGTTGACGGGGTGCGGGATCGAGGCACTGGTAACAGGAGCACCAGAAACGCTGCTGCCAACCTTGGGTATAGCCCCATTACCTTCCAGGTCCGGGATTATGCGTGGCATGGGCGATGGGCAGCCATTTTCGACCACGACCTTGTCAGGTTTGTCCATGAAGCAAGCTCCTTCCAGCGACAGTTCCTCGGTGCTCTCGCTCAGGTGAACCGAAAAGAATTTCGGATGGACTAGGGCGGGCAACGGGAAGCAGATGTAGCGGTGGCGCTGCCAATCCTGAAGCTGGCAGTCCTTGGAGCAGTAAAAGTCGCCGCAGCGCTGGCAGACTCGTTCCGCTGCGACTGCGCACAAGACGCAGAGTCCTTTTCCCGCAGGAAGCTGGAATAGTGTGATTTAAGGGGGTTCCCCGGATTCCATTCTTACCCTTTTTCAGAACTCACCTTGGCCCCGGCGACCGCTTCTGCCTTTTTGGGCACCATCCTCGTCCGTCGTTAAAACACAAGTAGATAAATAGGAATATAAGAATCAGCACTTCCTATAAGCTGATAAGCGGGGGCAAGTGGCGAAACTTGTTTCAGTGTTACCAGAAGTCGGGGTTTCACAGGAAATGTTTCGTGATTTAGACTTAATACCACATTGTGCAAAATACTAAGACTGGAAAAAACTATCGATAGGTCGATGATGATGAATGACCGTTACAGCTTAAATCCCCACGAAAGAAGAGTCCCTCCCAGATTTCTAGTCCATCTGCTCGTCTGTGCAATTATTTTTGTTACCGCATTATTCTTCGTTTCCTCCCCATGGTTGACCCCGCGCAGTTAATCATTGGCACCGATAATTGGATAGTGGATGTCTCTATTCGGTCTCTCCGGCATTAATTTATAGCGTGCATTATATTCGGACAGTTTAATTGGGTATCGACATTTATTAATTTGCTCCGGCTGGTTTTTTAGTATAATGCCCGTAATTTGTTGGCCCATTCGAATTTGACCACTCAAGGCTTTCAACACTCTTCGCCATGGGTTCAGTTTCCGTTTCTGCCAGGCTTCAGATTTGCATGCTCGCAGCCCAAAGAAGGACAGCATCAGCGGTGCACATTAATTAGGATGGTTCATTAGACACATGTCCATCAAAAGTGGCCCAGGTCCAGGACGGGAACCGAAACCGAAACCGAGACCGACGCCTGCGCCGCCGGCTAGGGAATATATTCCGAGCCGAGCTGGCTGACTTGTGTTGCCTGTTTTATGTAATTAAGCCAGGCGCTCACTATTTAAATTGCTGCTGGGTGCAGGGACTTAACACTTAGCAAAAAACTGTTTCCTTGCAAAGCGTAACAGACAGACATATATCCAGTTTAACTCAAACGCTTGGATATTCCTACCGATTTTAGCCCTAGATTTTTACAAACTTTTTTAATAACGTGTACATTAAAAGGGAGAATACAACTGTGTAGTCTTACTAAAAGCAGTTATTTTTTTCCAGTGCTCTCCACATGCGCCTCGGTGTATCACGAATTGGCAATTGAGGACCATCAGAGAGGCTTTCAAGTTCGGGACCGGCCAAGTGCAATTTGCAGACAGCCTCCGCCGCATCAAGATCCGCATCCTCGTCCTTGTTGTCTTCTGAGGAGCGACGTTCGCTCGTCAGCGCTTGAGCCAATAATTATGGTTATTAATCGGCCTGGGAATTGGCTGCTAATTTGCAGTTTAGTTACAAATTCTGGCCGCCAGCGTGCAATTACCTGCTTAAATTATAGCCTCAAAATAAACAAAACACCGCAACGCCAACGAGAATCGCCACGGCCAGGACTCTGCCCACCACTATATTCCAGAACAGCTCAGTTTCAGTCTCAGCAGTTGGCCAAAAGGTCGCACCAGCTAGTCCACACTGAACAAATAAAATATTCCCGTTGTATTTATTTAATTAGAAGAATTCTTTTTTTGTAGAATTAACTTTCCAATACCTAAATATTTTTTAATCGAAATACCATTAAACAAATGTATTTTGTGATTAAAAAAACTAATTATATCATATGTAGATACTTTTCAATGCTGAGAAGAAATGTTTTAAATTCTTTTCAGTGCCGATTCCACGCACCTTGAGCTTTAGCGTGTTTGCTTATCACGAGTCTTATCGCCGATTAAGCCAGGTCAATGCTGCACATCAGCTAATGATGCCTCTGCCTCTGCCCTCAGAGGTCCGCCAGTTGCTCCGGCTTCAGCACTTGATAACTCCTGGAACTCATAATTAGAAGCCAGTTCTGGGGCGTTACTCAATCAAGACTTGATGGCACAACCCTCTTCTTTCCATTGGGTGCATCGCAGCGGCATCATCATCATTATCATTGGATCGGAGAGCACTATCCTGCTGGCCAAACTACAACATAATTTCCAGACGTCGTCGGCGCGTCGCTCTTCCAATTTCGGAGGCTGCACTGGCAACACTTTTGGACCGCCAAATCAAATCGTGTGCTGTTTATTTAAATAACCATAATTTACCGCACCATCCAGGCAGGGCCCCTTTCTGCCCTGCTTCTGGGGCTATTTATTAACCCCCACACACACTCCACAGAGCCGAGCCGGGGCGATCCTTGGCTTTTATGGCCTGGCACATGATTTTCCGGGGCTGTGAGAACATAAAAATTCAATTTAATATGCTGTGCTCGTTCTGCGCAGATCATCGCGGCAGCTTCTCCCTTTTCCACTTCTGACTCTGATTTGGCCGGAGAACGTTTTGTCTTTGGCCAACATTCAATGAATACCTGTTTACTATTGCCATCAATGCTGGTTACGGCCAACGGCTGACTATCTGCATTTGTCGTGGGTGTTTGATTCGTACCAAAATTATGGCAACATCGATCCCTATTTCCTAATCGTGGGCATGACCATAAAGTCCAATTTGAAACGAAACATTTTCTGTAGTGTACTTTTTGGCTTACCAGAAATATTTACTATAACTCGCTTTGCATTTGAAATTAATTAATAGTACATAGACAATCAATTTCAATAAGAAGCTGCAACATTTTTTTTAGCATCTTTGTATATTTAAACTTATATTTTACTTAAAAAGTAGTGTTTTAGACAAACCCTATTTGCATATTCAACTTTTTACAGAGGCCAAGTGTTCATATACAGTTTATGCCCTGGCCAAGTGCCAGGACATAACGCGCCCAATCGCATTATAAACAATTGCAATTTATGAACCCACCGCTGGGAACGTCCGAAAGTGGCCGTGGCCAAGTAAATTGGCCTGGTTGGCTGGCTCCGATAATCTGCGGCGATCTTTGCCTAAGTGGATCCTCCAGCCAGTCGATTGGTGGTTGGTGGATTCAGCACGTCAAGTTTAGAAAAATGAGCTTGTTAACGCTCCATGATGAGCCCAGTTAGTGTCTAACCTGGAGCCTGGAGATCGATTCCATCCGATGGCTGGCGCAGATGGAGATGGATGGGCTGATGCGGCCAAGTCGGCGCGGTCGCATCCGATCCGGAGACTCGTCATTAGGGCCTGTGTAAAATTACAACACGATAACACGTAATCATTAGCGTGGCTCCGGGACGGTGTGAGCAAACAATTTGGGGGCTGAGCTGCCAAGCCAGTTGTCCGTTCCCAACTTCAATTTTCAGTTTCATTATCAAACGAGCCAAAGAACATAATTTGACTAAGGCCAAACATTTGGCAAACGGCAAACAACGAGAGCCAATTTGCAGTTCTGGCCAAAGCTGGCCCAGTGGTGGTAGTCGCTCTATCGATCACGTTTTGAACCGAAAGGCACGACGACCATGACGACCGAGAGCTGTACAGTGGTAAATGTTTGAAAGTATATATTTCTAATTAGAAATTAGGGATATTTTAGATGTTTTTTTAAGAGATACGGACAAAAAAGAGTTGGATTTCTGATGAAATAGCTTCATTTTCCATCTTATTTTTTGGGTTTAATTCAATAATGCTGCCATCAAGCTAGCAAGAATCCGCTTTTATAAGTTTTTTTTTTACTTATTTGTTAGTTTTTTATTTTATGATCCTCTCAACACTGTGCGATGCGACTTTGCCGATAATGCGGCGCTTGGCTGTTGCAGTTGCAGTTTCAAAGTTTGTCCAAGACGCCATTGCTGCCACAAGAGAAGTGGTGGAAACATAGTCAAGGGGCAAAGGAAGGGCGGACAATTTAGAACTTTTATGCAATTAATTGCAACAGTTTTGTGCGAGGAATGTGCCTCGGAGCGAACCGTTGCTGCTGTTCTGCCGTTCTAACCACTTTTGGGCCGTTAATTTAAAAATTGTGCTCACGTTCCGGCAATTTGCTGACCACCCACATGCAAATCCACCACTACTCCATACGATATACCTTCGATCCCACTCGGGGGCCTCGTTCTCGAGGAGCGCGAATCGATTCGCAGAAAATTAGCAGCCCCGACAGCGAGTGAGCGCAATGCAATTTGCATCGAGCATTTGATTTGATTCGAGTTGAGTTTGCATTGGGATCGGCGTATTGCGGATTTGCGGTCTGCTGTTTGTCTAATTTGACACTTGGGGCAGTCGCCAATTGCCTTATAAGTTGGTGTAGCTGTAGAGTTCATATAACACACATACCGCCTGGATGGGTGCGGGGCTTTGTTAGCATTCGGTGCCCAAAGATTGGCAGCCTATAATGGGTGCTAATGCCGGGTTTTGCCTCGAATTGGCCATCTTGTATGCATGATTGAATCAACTTGTTGTCGAAGGGGCCTATAATCCGTCAGATCCCCGATTGTTGGTTCTTGTGGAGTGCTGGTTAGCAAAATGCCAAGCGGTTAATTATTTTTAATGAGCAAAATTCAAAATTAAAGGTAAGTTTGTTCTATGAAAGGCTATCTGATAACACATTTAATCAAATAAGAGATATTTATTTTAAAAAAGATTAATAATTTATTTAATTTTCTATGCAAATTAATTGACAAATTTGCGAATGTCTATGCTGAGATCAGGAGACTCACATAGGAATTCAGAGCCAGAGCCAAAGTCCACTCAAAGTCACAGTCGCAGTCACGAGCGTCATCAGCCGCCTCTATGCCACATTTACGATTGCTGTCGCTGGCTGGGCTTCCTTGTATGGCCTGTCAGAAGAAGTGCAGCCACGGGAAAGCCAGGAGAGGAGGAGTCTACTGGCCAGTCGTCTGCTGCTGCCGGGTACTCTACTCCGAGTCAATATATATTCCAAAGGAATTCCGCAAATAATTGCAGAGCGTCCAAAACTTATGGCAATTGTGTGGTTGGGCGGGCATGGTACGTTCCACTGTGAGAAAAAATATTTGGTAAACTTGGGAATGCATTATGAAAATATAAAATATATGAAAATGTATACAAATTATTATGAACAACACGAATCACTCTCTTAATTCCCTTGTCATTTATGTAAAGCTCTGATAAAATGTTTCATCGTACAGAAAATGTATTTAAAAACATTTTTCATAACCAAGTTCTCCCATATATTTCCAGTGTAACGGCCGGCTCACGTCTCATACATCACGTGCAGCAGACAAAAACAAAGCTGAAAACTTTTTTCAAAAGCTCTGAAAAAAGACGCGAAATCATTTCGAATGCAAATAAAAAGTCGCGCCAATAAACTAGACTTCGCGACGGCGGCGCAGACTCAGACAATGACAATGCAACCGGGATT